TATTTAATAGATAAATAGTTAATTAAACTTAAATACATGTACAATTTTATATTATCAAAATGTTTTTTATGATTTTATTGCACAATTTATGAATATCCATCGACCCTTCCGTATTATTCGAGTTTTCGATTAGCAGAAAGAAATATTAGAAATGCTTGAAACGCTTAAAACTGAAAAGGATTATCTGATATACCTACACCATTAAAGAAAACTGTTTGCAAAAAGAAAATAATTTCGAATATTTTTAAAAGTCATTCTTGCGTCGTTAAGACATTCAAAAGACGTCTGTGTGCTATCTGGGAAATTACATGACAATTTGTATATTGAACTGGAGATTCAAAATAATTTTAGAATTTCTAACAATGATAAGAGTGAGAATCGAGTCGCAAACGAGAAATTATTTTAACACGAAGCGGACAACATATCCTGTGATCAGAGTGAAGGACATTTGATCGATCAAAAGAACTTGATTCAGCTTGTAGAAACAAAATTTTCAATCAAAATAACTTTACCAATTAAAAGTAAATAAAACAACAATTTTGAAAATACTAACTCAAAACTTTAAACATGTTTTTCCAAAAATACAATTTTCCAATTGACTGAACTATTGATAGAAATTGAATAGGTTAATACATTTCATTGAAGAAAAAAATAAACAAAAAAGTTTGAATAAATATAGATTGGTAAAAGAAACCATTTAAGAAAATGTTGACATTTAATGCCTATGTATAATAGATTAGGATAATAAGGCTAGAAGTTTTTTGTTTTAACGTTGTTAGACTGGTAGAAATGCATAATCTCTAAATCCAAAGTTCATCATCATATATTTCGTATATAAAATAAATATGTTGTATTCATTCTTAATATCTATAAATAAATTATTTGTGCTGAAGAACTGAACATGCTCCACGAAATAAATCCTAGTGTGATTTCACAACCATTTTACCATGAAACTTAAAAAAATAAAGCAATATAGATCACAAATTACTGAAATTTATAACGATTGAAAAACTTATAATGATAAAAAGTGATGATTTTCTACCTAAAAGAAGACTTGCTTATATATTGTACAAAAAACATAAAAATGTTTTTATTTTAATGAACTTAAACTATCGTGTAAGTTCGCTATATAAATTATTAAAAAGACTTATGGTATTTTTCTTTGACTTTTCCTTTTAAATTTACAAATATCAAAAATTCAGTACAAACTTCAATATTGAAGTTTTACTCTGGAAAATTGTCTTAAAAATGTTCAACATTTTATTCCTAGTCTAATTTATTATTGTATCCATAGTTCCTGACTTCTCAATGAGAATGTAAAAAGAGAAATCTTGAAAATTACAAACAGTTTTCATTATTTTATATATAAATGTTTCGTTTATATTTCTGATATAAAAACACATCTCTAATAACACTAAAACATTATTAACATATTGACTACAAAAGAAATTAGTATAAAAGATAAATAATATACCATCATAGCAAATATTTAAAAATTACTTACAATTAGTCACAAAAAGTCATTAATTTAAATAATTTGAAATAATAAAGGCACAAAACATTAATGATAAATAAATTTTAGAATTATTAATGAAAAATTGAATAAAACATCAGAATCGTAATTTTCAATTTTCAATGAAAATTGAAAGTATCTACACAATACCTACCTTTTTACTATTTATCTATGCTTTTTATTCTTATCTTTCACTGCATTAATTACTTTTTTCCCTGAATAATAATAGTAGGTGTCTTATTTTATTGCTCATTCTGTAATCTCAAACTTTAGATAGAATGTTAATAATGATAAAACATTATTATATTCTAGCGTCTGTATACAAGTAAAGTAATACTTATATTCTACGTTACATTGCAACAGTCACTTATAAAAATAATGTGTTTTTAAATATATTTATTGATTTATTTAAAGGTTTACAAATAAATAAATAGATTTAAAAATCTATTGTGCATATTTCAACTATATATAAAGACATTATTGCTTTCAATATAAATACAAACGTTGAAAATCATATAATGCGTAAAAAGTATTTCATTTATTCCCATAGTGTGTTAATTATTTTGCATCTTAACTGTGTTGATCAATTACATCCACTTTAATTGTTTCTGCTTCCCCTTTCGAATATTTGGGTCTCGTTCTACTTACTATCGAGATCAGAATTATAAAATTCACGATTAAAACTACGGGATAGATCAGTATACCTAAACCAGTAGAGACGCCGCGTTGCCTATGATGTGAATTCATTCATTCATTAATTTCTATTCCGTTAGAAAGACGCAAGTCCGTTTGACGCAATAGCTTTGACGAAACGTGCAACGGGAACTAAAGGCCACAGATACTCCGGTGCAATGTGCCTCCCATGCAGTGACACAAAAATAAACTCCCCGGTAGAGTCTACAATCAATGACGTCACGTTCGGTCAGAGTTCATCGGTCAGTGACCTATGTTCGTTCTAGTCCTGGCAGCAGTGACAAAAGGCTCGTCGTTGCTGCTCGCGAAACGATATTTTAGCTGCCTCGCCGAGGATAGTTTCTGCGCAAACGTGCTGACTACATGAACGATACAGCCACGCGATAGTGCACGCGAAAACCAAGTCGATCTACATATCGAGCGCCATAACGTTTATGCAAGAAACATGTACTATCGACTCACGAACCACCGAATCTCACTCTATAGTTCCAGTCTTTCCTTCTTTATCGCGCCAATTACCACCTCGTTACTGTTGTTTCAGACACAACAGAGAGTGTTACACAATTAAAACATAACCAGTTTCTTGTAACTGTTAACACGCAACAACTATCGTTTTGCGTACACGTTAATTCCTATTGTTGATCGACAACTCGCGATTGCAAACAAACCGTTTTGAACGATCGAGAAAATCGCGCGGTAACTATATGTGTACATTCAGGTGGAAAAGTGACATTGATCATGAAATTTGTAAGAACAGGTAGGAGAAACAAGGCGGTAAAACAGTTCACTGTTGGGGGACGCAGTGCTCATCTACTTACTTACTTGTTGTTGGCGTTCCCTAGCTGACAAGATGATGACGACTCGTCGCTGTCATTTTCATCTGCCTCTTGTGTCGGGGGTTGTCCTGCAGCATGGCTCCTGTCGCCGGTCTCCAGGTCAGCGACGAGAGTGTACATCGACAATGTTTAAACGAGCGAAGAACGTCGCTTCTTGGACGACATCGTCGTCATGCCCGTGAACACGCAAATCAACGTGCGAATCACTTTTCACGTGTTGTCGTTCACGTAATACAATGGAAACGTAATCGGCTAGGTCCGCGAAGGAGGCCAATTTTACTCACAAACCCTTATACACCCGACCGCAAGTAGCGCCCTCCCGCCATCAAACTGGTTGATTGTGTACAAATACGCCAGTGGCACCACCTCGTGCGCGATTAACGAAAACATTCAGAACGTCGTTGACGATCGATGAGTGTACTGTCCGACAAACCTAAAGTGAAGTCTCTGACGTCACAGCCTAGTAAAATGGAGGCAAAATAGGCGTTTCAGGTCATCCCCACTACTCTTGGGTCTTACACTGCAGGCGCTTGAGGGGAAGGTGCGTTGTAGGTAAATGGTTTAGACAAACGAATTTAAGTCAGCTGTCGATAATGTAACACGCTGATAAAAGAACGGAAAACTCAAAATTATTTGGTCGCCTTGGCCTCTTACGTACGTTGGCGCCTAAGACATATTTAATAGCGCAGACGTTAATTTCTAAGCGACTCATACACAGTACATTGTTATTGTAAAGGAAGCCTCAGGAAATGTATTAATATTTTTTAACAGTTAGAAAACTAAAATGTAAATATTTTTTCCTATTCCTGAATAATAAAAGTAGATTTCGGCGCATTAAAAAATTGCTTAAGGAGCTAAAAAATTTCTGGCTGCAATGAAAAATAGCGTGCCACCACAGACCGACAGCCACTTTTTACAGCCAATAAAAGCCATCAAACAGCCACTATTTAATGTTAAAATTTTGAAAAATTTGACAAAATCAGACATGTTATCACTTTAACCGTAATATTTCGGCTTTGTTTAAAGATAATATTTCGACCTTGGGCTCATTTTATAGCAATAAACAGCAATAATCGTTGCTAAAGTTTCAATTGCTAATTTGACACTGTTCCCACTCATAGAATAATTTTGAAAAAATACCATTGGATTGCTTGAATTTTAACCTATAAAATAAGCTTATCGAAATAATAGACAAATTTTGGAAATATGGGATAAAAAAATAAAGTTTACCATGATGCACGTCGTTTGGCGTCGCACAGGCATCTGTTCGCCTGTTTATGGTGTCTGCGCGACGTAAACTTAATTTTTTTCGAGCGCTTGAAAATATCATTCCGGTTAATTATCGACTGCTCATCTGTTTACCGACTGCTCGAACGAGGCCCAATCGTCATATATTGTTAATAGAAGAGTAAGTGCGATAGCCTTATTCTATCCCTATTGGCTGACTATAAGGGAAGACCTAAGAGTAACTGCGATAGCCTTATTCGATCCCTATTGGCTTACTAACAGCGAGCCGTCGCAAGTTACCCTACATCATCCACTTTTAGGCCCTGTGTGACGTCAGAGGCTTCACTTTAGGTTTGTCGGACAGTATATACCTATGGAATGCTTACTTCTACCCCAATTAACAGTGAATTATTCTACGAAAAAAATAGTATGTTGTGATACGATTAACTTGATAAATTAGAAGTCTTTATTAGCAGAAATTATTATATACTGAAATAATCACTGTATTATCAACATGTTAAATTAAGCTACCATAAACTAAATCAGAAAGATGTAAACAAAAATTGGACGATGAACGAGTAAAGCTATTAAACCGCTCCTTGGTACTTTTTACAATTCATATTTTTGCATGGTTATTTATCATTATAATGCGGTACACTTTTAGGAAATTTAGGACTCGTTGTGAAAAAAGTGACATTGGAAAAGAAGGTAATTTTAGTCAGCAGCAGGAAAAAAGTGATCAAACACGTGCCACTGTGTGATGTATGTAAGTACATACATACATATGTACATCGTAGATATAATACATGTTTAGTATAGCGCAGCGACCTCCATCGCCTTGCAGGCAAAGAAAATAATCGTTGATCCAGTTGGGAGTACGCCAACAAATGTAACTCCTTTTTAAGTTTGCCCTTCGAGCGTAGCCTTGACTTTCAAGCCATAAAACCTACGTAAGTATGTGTATCTGTAGCAGGTACCATGCACCTGCCTTCTAAGATAGCGAAATTGGAACACCTAGATACAGTTGTTGCATTCGTTCACGTCTGTTTTCTAAAAATATCCAAAATCAATTAATAACTTTGTCTTCAGATAAAACATTTCGGTAAGTACGCAAAATAAAAGTAGCCCCTCCAATGGTAAGTGTTATAATTCCCTTCGTTCGAAAATTAATTTTTTTACATACGATCAGTTTTTCGAAAAATCGTGATTTTTTAATTACATTATTTTTTGGCGCAAGTATAAAAGTTGATACACTCTAATATACTTTTTTACAACAAATAAGTTCACTTGTAATTTACTAGAAGATGACTTTCGATACATTGATATAAAAAAGAACATTTTGACAATTTGAAGTTATCATTAAAATTACAAGTTAATACTTTCATTCATAATAAAACGTATCAAGGAATAAAGTAAATGGTCTAATTAACAAATTAATTGCTTGGAAGAATAAGAACTTCAAGGTTAATATTTAAGTATATTTTGTGTTTTTTATAAATTTATCATTTAAACAGTACAAATATATGTAGATATATATTTAAAAAATACCGTGCATCAATTACATGAAAAGTTACACTTGTGTTACATTTTGAACTTCAGTCCAAACATTTATACGGATACGGAGGAAATACCTTACATTACATTTGACTAATACTTGCGGTATAAAAATATCGTAATTGCTTTTTGACTTTGTATTCTATTATTTCTTATTTTCTCCAAATGTTTTTTGGATCTTTAGTTTTTCAATTTACATATTAGAAACGTAGTTTTTCAAGTAGACCAACTCTTTAATTCAACGTTAAATCAATGTAAGCATTTCATTTTTATAAGGACATTTCTTTCAAATTTAAATAGTACTTACACCTTAATAAACTAATATAATGTACATATAGTGTATTATTAATAGTTTTGTTATAATGAAAATCACGCGAATAAATCTTTTTAAAATTCTTTTCTATTAATACTGCAAAAATCCATATGATTAATTTATACTGTATAATAACAAGAATTTGATGTAAATATTTTTAACCCTTTCGCTGTATACGACGTAGTTTCTTAGTTGCGTACACGCCATAGGTATCCGTCAGGAAAACCGCGCGTCACTTACAAGGACGCCATACATATATCTACGACACGGTGAGCAAGTAGGCTTAAAAGTCAACATATTATGTCCATATACGGGAATGCAGTGCCGAAACAAAATTAAGCTACCCGTCATTATAACACTTTGTTTATACGTAACCAATGGCGGCTCGTAAGAATTTATAATGATTGAGCTGTAGCAATAAAAGTAAAAACGATCAACATGGATTGAAAAAAATATATTGTATTATAAACAAGAAAATGGCGGGTTTTATAAATTTAACAGTGAAAATAATAAAACAGGAACTTTCATTTTACAGAAGGGGCTGCAGCCCTACGAACGAGCAGCCACTGTATGTAACTATAATACGAGTACATAGATTATACAGGGACTTCGAAGAAATTCATACGAATATTAATAATTAAATGTTATTTTTTCTAATAGCGATATTTAAATGTTGTATATACACGTTATATCTTATCCACAAACACAGCTCATGTTCAGGGTATTACTGTTATATTTACGGCCCTGCTTTAGGTAATCCGCTTTAGCGTGGAACGACTGATGATCATGCCGCACGCAGCGAGCAATTTTTGGATAAAGCGTGCTGCAGCGAAAGGGTTAAAGAGATGTGTTAATATGTCTTGAAATAGACGGGTAATAATTTTTTCATTGTAAATTACACTAGATACAACAATTATTTTATACACAAATGTGCTGAGCTTAAATTCAGCTACGAATTGTGTTTTTAACAAATTTGTATTACGTTTTAGTGTCAATAAATAGTTTTTAAATAAAAATTCAATCAATACGTTCAATAAGAATGCATTCATGTACATATGTTATTGCCTACAATTAAATTGTATAATCAAACAAATTATATTTGGGCCTCTCGTTTGCCAAATCGATCAACTCCACAAAACAAAAAGTAGAGAAATATTAGTATTAATATTTTTTATACCGTTGAAAAGTTTGAATTACATTATTATAACGATTTAGTTTAGAGCATGGAGTTAATCACATCGACTTCTGGAATAAACTATTCATTATTCAACGGCCATAGAAATTTTTGTCGTTTAGTGGTGTTAAGCCTAATTATTAGGAAAATTTATTTTAAATATAAAAAGATAAGCATCACTCAAGTGCATTGGTAGTCAAAATTGCTAAAGTGGAGTTAACCATTTTGGCCTATAAACGGTTCATTTATTATTGTGCCTTGTGAATATGTATATATCTACTATCGTAGACCGACTTGTATTGATCAAAACTACTTATGACATTAATCATAACGAATAGTAATCAATTTCTTTGTTTGTGTTTAACATATTAATAATACTAAAGTACATATAGGGCATTGTCACATATTTCGTTGCATATTTCTTCAAATTTTTTTAATACGTATTAGGCGTTTTTTTATCGATTCTTTCGATTGAAAACGTCACTAATATGACACCGTGTATGTTATTACGTCCTTACGGGGGTAACACGAAATGCAATTATTTGTCCTTTTTGTCCTCCGTATCGACTATTTGCTTAATCACGTTTGCATCTGGGTTTATCTCGTCGTTATGCCTGCCTTTAGAAATCTCATCATCTTGAATTTCTGTGATACTAGCACCCTCAACCTCCTCCTCCTCCTTCATTTCCTCTTCCTCCAGCAGGTGGTCCCAGTCTTGCGAATTGTCACCACTATCGCGAACCTTACTTAGTTCCTTCTTCAACATCTCCAGACATTCTCTTCGTTCTTTCCATTTCTTCACTTGCTCTGGATCTAACTTCACATTTTCATCTTGTACCTCTTGCTCAGTTTTTTCTCTGTTCTCGCATTCCAATATGTATTTTTCGTAGTTCTCTACCTACACAGAAACGAGCAAGTCGTATGTTTATAGAAGCTCCGGGAATCAAGACGTAAATTTTCTGACTGAGTATATTTGCAATTAAAATTTAAATAATTATTAGTGACATTATGAGAACACGTAGGGTTTACTTGAGTTTCTTTTATGTTAAATGTGACAAATACTGTATTACACGTAAAAAAGATATTTCTATTAAGATACTGATAAAAATTAAGATTTAAAACATTGTTAATATGAATAATAATTATTAGCAGTAGTACACATTATTGGTAGTTGATAATTGAATAAAATAATATAAGTAAATTGCCCTTTTTGTTACATTATTTGTGATAGATTATCTGAAACAGTGAGAATAAATAACGTATCTCGTCTAACTGGAATATTTGGAAAACTAATTAAATTAATTAATTAAATAAACTAGAGTGTATATGAAAACAATTCGAGGAAAACATTGTTCCGTTTGAAGTAGCAAACATTCTGGCACGCATTTTTTAAAGGTCATAATTTAAAAAATTTGTTTAAATGTCAACATTTTTTTAAATTGGATAACATACTTTCATTGACATTGTAATATAATTGTTAGAAAAAAATATGTTATATAACATGTTGACCTTGAATGAACATACCACGTTTATGTGAACAAAGGAAACTACATTGAATTCACAAAATTATGCAAATATGCACGTAGTTTATTTTAAAAAGTGGTGAAAATGATTGTCGCTTATTTCCATTTGTTTTTGAACAAAAAATTAACTATTATTTTACATTCTCAATAAATTCCGAGCAGATACATATACACTGCCATTCAAAAGTATTACATATTTTTAATTATATTTCTTCGCCAAAGTTAGTATCATATATCAGTGAAAATATACAGTGTTCACGCTATTAGTGTGCAACGTTTTTCACATTAGTGGTAGATTTGTGAAAAAAATTGAAGAGGACAAAGTTTCATTATTTTTTATACGCAATACTATGGCTTGAGTAGATTTTTTAAATGTGCAATGGTTTTCGCGTAATAGCTATAATTGCTTTTATATTATATGAAAGCGGTTGCCGAAATAAATTCAAGGACCTACGACAGACTCATTTTCAAATTCAATTTCGAATCAATGTTTGTGGTGTGGCATAATCAATAACAGACTGTTAGAATCTTATTTTTATGATGGCACCTTAAATGAAAATAGATATTCAGAAGTTTAATCGTATGTACACGTCGTACTATGAATCAGTTATTTCAGGGTCTTAATAATTTTTTGATGACTATTGACACATTCAATAAGTGTCCTAATACTTATGAACGGTAGTGTATGTGCGACATGCATATGTAAACATTGTTTTTATCATTTAATCATTTTCTATGAATTTCCAAAATTTTCTATAGACATTCATGGTATATGTATGTATATGAACTGGTTTCTGAAAAAAGCATTAATCCTCTGCAGTCGAAAATACCATAAAGAGAGTCTCCTACTCGATAACTTCCTTTATAAAGACATTTCCTTTATCACGGAATTTTTTACAAAGCCGAATGTCGTGGAATTCTTTTCAGCAATGTTTGCAAGATAAGCTAGAAACGATGTTCCATTGATTTTGAGAGCCAATGAATTTGCCCTTTATTACCTGATGCTATGCGAGTTGCTAGGCTGCAGGCTAATTTTGAATTGTTTGTAACTAGGAAATGAAACCGAATTTGACATTACTTTGTTTTCGATTTTCGTCTTATTTTATCATCTAGAATCGCCTTTCACAATTTTTTCCACTCATTATCAAACACTCTTTATATAATTGAATTTAATTTTTGCTAAACTATGTCGTTACGTCAATATATGTAAATATGTTATTCTATTAAGGAAAATGTTAATAGAGTTGAAATTTCTAAAATGATAAATTTAACAAAAATTTTGTATTCGTCAAAATGTTTGCGTTTTCACACAGAAAAAATGTTTCCTAACCTTTCTTCGTACTATAAAATGCTGCGAGGTTATTGTAGATGCAAAAATTGAGAGAAAAACTCTACATACGATGATGAACAAAATTTAGGGAACAGAAAACTAGAGTACTTCATTAGAATAGGTCTATAAATCATAATAATTAATTATGTAATTAGAATGTAAATTTTAAGGGGAATTAAATGAGGGGTGACATTTATTTTCAGTCAATTTTTTATTTTATTTCTCTACAGATGAATAAAAAAAATGCTATATTGAATAATGTAGTTCTATACTCTGAAAAAACCTAACTTTATTAAA